TGAGCGTGAGTGCGGGTGGTTGTTTGTCTCTGTGTCCCCTGCGTTTGGCTGGCCCCCGATTCAGGGTGTCCCCCGCCTGCGCCCGAAGACAGCTGGGATAGGCTCCAGCAACCCCCCGCGACCCTTGTGAGGATAAAGTGGTTCGGAAAATGGATGGATGGATGGATAATTATCATGACTCTATATTCATTGAATGTAAATTGTAAATAATTCATTCATTCATTTTCAATCAGCATGCCATGCATGTTTTTGGAAAGTGGGAGGAAACCGGCGTACCCGGAGAAAACCCACGCAGGCCCGGGAAGAACATGCAAACTCCACACTGGAAGGCCGGAGCCGGGACAGAACCCATGACCTCTGCACTGTCAGATGAACGCGCTAACCACTGGACCACCTGGCCACCTTCATGATAATTATATGGCCAAAATAAAACCGTAATCTGTTAAGATTGTTTTATCTTGGTGCCAATGGATTACAAATTACAGTGACCTAAAATTGAAAATGCTGTACTGAACAAAAATAAATAAATACATAAATAAATACATCAAAAACACGGTCAAGTGTCATATTTTTCACATGAGCACTGCGCAAGCTAATGTTTTCATGTCTAAACTCTGTTGTTTAATCATTATACTCAACTGTATACAGTACCGTGTTTCTTTGGGAGGCTTGATGTTCATGTTGGAGCAGTTCTCTGTTCACAATAAAGTTGATTTAAAGAGCGAGGAAAGATAAGGAAATAGATGTTTAGACCAACAGGGGAACTTTCTTTTTCCTGCATTTCATTACTACCAAGCGTTGGGATAAAAAGGTCAGATTAAGTTTCTGGTTTGAGTAGCATGCAGTGAAGTGAATATTTACAATGTTTCTTATTTGCTAAACGCCCAGCCCAAAACACAGACTAATAAATGTCAATCGCAGTTCAAGGAAAAGAATATCAATTTGAACTTCGTGCCCTGTGAATGTCGGTTCTATGCACTGAATGGAGGCATCAGCATTCAAGACCGTGTTTGACAGTTAAATTGCAGAACCATAAAATTGTGTTCAACTTTCCGAGAATTATCTTAATCTTTGCTCTCTTTCAAGGAGGGTCAGCTTTCCAAAGAACACTGTGAACCCTTCGTAATCTTCTGTCAAATACAATCAAAGATAGCAGTATAAACAGTAGTTTCCGCATTAATTGTTGTCATGGAATATGGTTGATTAATTGTATTATTGATTCATTATTGTCAATTTTGAGTCAATACCAATTTGATGCCTTTGGAATCATACAGTGAAGGTTTTTGACAGCATATCTGCCAAAATCGTTTTCTGTGATCAATCGTGTGAAAGAATACAGATTCCATTTGAAAAACTTTTCTTGTTGCTTCTTAACTTCAACCAACTCCAAGTTAATACTACATGAAGGACAATCATAATTCCCTCAAATACAGGGATCAGATGATTGCCATGCTTTTGATAACGATGTCAGTTACATTTAATCCATCTCACAAAGTGTAACAAACTACAGTGCCTCAACCTCCCTGTTCTTTTCTAGTTGGACAGGATAAAAGTAATGCACTGAGTAGTACAATTCGGCAGCATGGAATTCTTCACATACTGCATGTGGCCATGCAACTTCTCTTTTTGGTTGGAGGAGAGCAAAAACACTTTGGTGCTACTAATGGATCACTGTTTGCTTTTCCCATCATAAAACTTTTTGGCCAGTGGGATTACATTATTCATCAGAGTAGGGTTCACTTTGCTAATAATTGTCCTATGAGACACATTGTCGAGTCAGAGTGTAAAGATATACTGTAGCTTTTGAGTTAAACTGTATTAAAAGTACAAGTTGTTACCCATTCAAATAGTCAATAGAAAGGCAGCCGAGAGCACAAGACAAGGAATCAAGACATTAAACGATAGAAACATTTACAACATGGATGGCGGACTGCTATCAAAACAAACCAACAAACCAAAAAAACATAACAACTTGGTAAAATATTTTAAATGTCGTACCTGTACTTGATGTCATGCTGTGCCGCACAGCAGGAGACGTAACGGGGAGTCATCTAAATCCAAACTTTTATTCTTAACAGTGTGGCTCCTCCCCGGGCAACTCGGAAGGGGCAATGTCTAATGATTATGAAATTTGTGCAGACTTTGCGTTGCTTGATTTTGCAACGTTAACGACCATCTAACTTAAATACTGTAGCACGATTTGCTTTAGAAAATACGACTTCCCATTCAGCTCGCTTCCATTGAGGCGTTGACGACTCGCTCCGCATTTTGGCAACGGACGTGAGTGGCACATGTGGAATTACAAAAAGTACTTTTGGTACTGTTGAGTAAATATTTGCATTACCCTTTTTAATACACTTCACCTTTGTGGTTCGAATGGCGAGGGTGATCCCGGGAAGTTGACATTCAACAGTGACACAATTATTGGTGTTTGGCGAGACGAGAGGTGCATTCAGATACTTTCGGATATTTTAGAATTCGGCCGAAGAAAGCCCTGCCATGCAGTCAACGTTAATCGCGACAAATCTCTAAATATTGTGGGCTTTCTATCTATCTGTAAAAACTGACATATATTAAGAATAACGATGGGGGTGAGATCTTGTTGCAATTTTATTGAATTACAATCAATGGCCCATCTAGTTAATTATGTCACAATACTTATTCAAACCACTAGGCTACCTACCATATTTCAGTCTATAGTGGTTCTGATTTCAAACCTTAATCATTGAGTTAGAATGTTTTTTTTTTTGTTTTTTTGTTTTTTTTTTACTCTCGAAAGGCTAAAATAATACAAAGATTTTGGCGCCTTCAGACCTTAATATATAAAAGTTAATAAATAAAAATAGTGTAGTTTGTAATTTTTTAAAGGTTCCATTATAAATTAAAAAAAAAAAACATTTCAAATTGTATTTTCCTGGCCACTGTTAAATCGGGTTGAATGGTTATCATGTGGCACTGCAGCATAAGAAGCACCAGAGTTGAGAGCGGTGGTCGGTGACGTTTTAACCATTCATAAAAGAGGAGTAAAAATAGTCTTCACTGTATTATGAGTATCCTCCCTGCAAACCTTTCAAAACCAAGCATGTTCATAGCTTTAAATGAAACTCCGAGGCCACTAGATGGCATCATCATGTTTCAAATCACACCGTCAGCCACCTGTATACAGGGAGCAAAGGCCCAAGTCTAGTCAATTAGTAACTTAGTCTCAAAAGTGGTTCAAAGGTTCTGCTCGTAATTTCCGAGATGTCAGTAAAGATTCAGTTGAGAATGTGGAGATTTTGGATTAATTTGGATCATTTAGAATCTGATTGTGCAGTGCTTACATGTATAGGTCTACTTTTCAAATAGATTTGAAACTAAATCCTAGAAATATGAAGCAGACAAACTAACCACGAGTGCAACTTGTAGTTAGTTGTTACATGCGGTACATGAAATAACTGAGGCAAAATGGAGTTCAAGACTTGACTCCAACTAACAGATTAACTGTAGATTGTCCCAACTAGTTTCTAGTTGGAAGAGCAACTTCATGTCAGCGATAGTATTTGTTATTTCATCTCAAACAAATGTAAATAAAATGCTATTCTTGAAATAATGAGATCAAAGTGCAAATGCACATTTCATGTCAGTATTTTTCTGCCATCTAAAAGCATTATTGAAATGCCTTTTCAATAAAAATGTCTTATCTTTGCCGAGAGTGGACATCTTTTCATACATCCATCTCAAACAAAGACACTCAGAAAAGGTCAATTTTTAAAAAACTATTTATACAAGATATTTTAATGTTTCAAGGCAGGGGAGGTGGAGTGAGAAGGAAGAGAAAGAGAGCAGAGGAGTCAATGGAGTGTCTATGGGACTTCAGCACAGCTTTCCGGATGCAAGTGACAGCCCATCTGAGTCTCTGAGATGGCCCCAGAGGAAGACAGAGCTCCCATCTGTACTACAATCCTTGCCAAAGTACTGGAGTGCACTAACGGTCAAAATCTGTAAAGGAGACTTTTTGTCAGCTGCAAGTCATTTACTTCGCGTATCATCATCCGTGCAATGGCTGCTCATTTGCCTTGACATTGAGACTATTTCTGTTCTTCTGATGCTAAAGATGAAAATCAAAATGAATAAAGGGGATGAAAACAGCTCTTGGAAGAGAAAATATGGGGAAAAGATGCTGCTGTTCTTTTTTTTTTCATAATAGCCTAAATCTATGGCCTTCTATGTGACATCCTTAGAGTCCGAAGGCCACAATTGTATCACACTTTACTTCTTTTAATGAGTGCCATGGAAGTCATGGCTGTTTTTAATAGTGGCCAAGAAAACCTCCTCGGCCTTGTCACAATAATTCCATCCATCCATCCATTTCCAACACCGCTTATCCTGAAGAGGGTCGCGGGGAGTTGCTGTAGCCTATCCCAGCTGACTTTGGGTGGAAGGCATACTACACCCTGAACTGGTTGCCAGCCAGTTGCAGGGAACATATAGAGACAAACAACCATTCATACTCACATACACACCGTCACTGAGTGGGAAACGATCCCAAGCTGCCTGCACACAAGATAGGAGAGTGTACCACGACACCATCAGCGACTTACAATAATTCCACAAAACAAAATAAAAACAAATCGTGAGGCATATGTGTTTGCGCTATATCGTGTGGAGAAATTTCTGGAATTAGCAGCATGTATTCTCATAAGAATGAGGCAGCAGATGGCAATAAAAGGTCTTACATTGTGGGTAGAAGGATGGTCATGAAAAAGGGAACCAAGCAGCCTCGAAGTTCAGTGCGGCAGGAACTTGTCTGTGATCTGAAGGAAATGTGACCTCAGTCACCAAAAAAGCAAAATGGTGAAATGGACTGAAATTTTGCTGTTCCCAAGGGTGCCGTCCTCAAGAAGGAACGTGTACATGCCTGTATTTATGAGACCAGCGAACATCAATGACTCAGACTGGGCTTGGTCAGATGAAACTAAGTTTTTTGGCGTTTCAAGTTGACCTAGTAGGTTTGGGGATGGAAAACAAATTGGAGTTACCCAAAAGAGCACTTTCTCCACAATCAAGCACAAAAGTGGGAAAGGGTGAAGGATGTCTTCATTGAAGGGCCAATGAATGGAACCACATAGTATTTTTGATAAAATCCTCCGCTCTTGTCTTGGCCTTCCAGCGTTACACTGAACCACACTGCCGAGGCGATGAGGGAGTGGCTCAAAATATCTCAAATTCATACTGTGGTCAGTCTCCAAATTGCAACCCAGTAGAAAACCTGTGGAGGGAGCTGAAGCTTGTAGTTTCCAACTAAAAACATAACAACTGATTCAGATTTCACTCAACCCAACATTGTTTAACTTAATTTTTTTTTAAATGAGAACTTTTCCACAGTTTTGATGATACAATTTCCATAATCAAGAAATAGCCATGAAAATACAGTCGGTTAGATTTTTTTTGTAATTGAGCAACCTCACAAATTGAGCAGATGAATATACTGTATATCATTCTCACTAAGGTTGTAGTTTGCTGGAGCCTATCCCAATTGACTTGTTGGTACACCACTGACTGATTGCCAGTCAAATGCAGGGCACATACAAACAATCATTCGCACAAATGGACAACAGAGTGTCTTGAATTAACCTGACAAGCATGTTTGCCAAATTTGGGTGTGCCGTGTGGAAAAACAAAAAAACAAAACAAAACAAAAAAAAAACTCTTGCAAGCATTGGGAGAACATGTAAACTCCATACAGCAATCAAGGACCTTTCAACTGCTGGGCAGACTTCCCAACGGTCGTGTCATTTCTGATAGGTAATAATTACTTGAGAAAAGATTTTGTCATTTCGGAGAGAAGTTAGTTCACGAGTCCTCTCGGCTGTTTTCATTTGAATAAATCTTGGAAAAAATATTACAAAGATTTAATCAAGTTTGGCTTTTATTGTTTTTTGGAAAATAGCTCACTTTATACAATATACAGTATATCTACACTAAAGGCTAGAATGTCATAGCGGAGTTGATAAACTTAAAAATATATATATATTTGCACAACTCTTTGTGGTTAAAGACTCTCTTAATTGTAAAATACTTTTGCATGTTTTGTGTAAAATCCTTGTGCGTCTTTCAACATGAGGCAATATACATCTAGATCATATAGAATGCTTCACAAATATTACCCCAAATTGAAAAAAAATAAAATAAAGACAAATGCTGCATTGAAAGTATTTATCACTTAGAGAGTTACAGCCATTTAGAATTTTAGAGGATATGTACATAGATGCTAAATCAGCACAAAAAGAAAGAAAAAAAATCTGTAGAAAATTGAGATTGCTTACCCAGCAATTTCTTTTACATTGAGCAATTGAGGTAACATCCTCTGCTCAAAGAAATTGTGGATGTTAAAAGGGGAAACGAGGACTTGGGTACTCACTGTGGCCAGCATACTACACTGAACCGACCCTGATGCTGTTTCTTTTTTTTTTTTTTTTTTGGGTGGGGGGGGCGTTGTGGATCCTATGGCGTAAAATTCAGCTTGACAAGTCAGCTGTATCTGTTGTGAAAAGCACTTTGCAGAAAAGTTACCATAAAACATAAAAACAAATGACAAAATACAACAACAAATTACCACACCATTTCTGACGAAATGATTTTGATTTGAAATTATAGTTACAATGTGACCTGACTGAAGACTCTGTTTATTTGAAATTTCTGAACCCTCTAACTGCAACCACCATGTTGCAAACACAAGTGAAATAAATTTCAATTATCATTTCATTGTTAGTGTCTGTGTTTTGTTATCTAAAGCTTTAAGAACATATCACTTCGATGCAGTTACTTGTTTTATATGTAAAGAAGCAAGAAAAATATGTTGATTTCAACATATTTGTATGACATTTATACATGGCTCAGTTAGGCCAGTGTCTATCAGGTACCGTACATGGTGACCTGACACAGTGCCACATTGGCCCAGGGCTATTTGGCCTCCGTTAATGTCGAACGCTGGATAATTTTCAGAATGATAAAAACACTACTAGCGGCTACTCAGAAGCACGAGTGTAAATACTGTATATGAATGGACTAACAATGTCACTTACTCGCCATTGAAAAAAGTGAAGCCACTGGCAACCATCTGATGTTGACACTCAATTAGCACACCAAACTTGAATACATTCGTTTCTCTGCAACGTTTTCACATTATTTGCTATATCTACAGCAAAAACACCAATATGTGTGGCATACGGTTGTAACAATAAGTCTGGGAGAAGCACCACCTGCACATTTTATTGATATGAATACAGTACTATTATTAATGTTGTATTTGAACGTATAATTAATTCTAAGTGCTACTCAAAAAGTTGTCTGCGTCATGTTGTCACTTGTCACAACCATAAACAATGAAATGAACAAAATTTGTTGCGAAATATAAACCTAACTTCTGGAAGTCATTATTCACGATACTGAGATATGTACTATGGATGGTCGATGCGAACAGTGAAGTTTGTTGTTGGAGAGGCACTCATGGATGTAAAACATGCACTGGTAACAGCGTTTTCAAAAAGACATTCGTCAGTTACAGTGGCAACATAAGATGGCTGCCCTTGGACTTCAGTTGCGAGGTTCCAGCCGTTAGTCCAGTCATATATAAGCCCGAGGTCAGGGGTCCGATTCGAGTGATTTCTGAATCCATAGCAGAATCTCAAGGGGTGGTTTATGCAGACCAATATCAGCCATCTCTCTGGTCCAACCTCCTAGACACCAGCCAAGCAGTGCCTCGTTTTGTCATCGATGTGGCCGATGTCAATTGTCTTTTGAGCCCTTGTCAGCCCTATCGCAGTAGATTTACGCATGATTGACATATTAACTACTTCATAGCTTCTACAAGCAATCACTTGGAAAACCATTCATGCTGTTATTTTTAGAGTGCAGTGAATTGAACCCGTGGTTGTTAATCGCATCTAATTGGTCGACAGGAACAAGTGTACAACGCGCATCACAAACGTAACGTCCATTCACACAGACGAATGATGTGGCAAAAATCAAGGCGCAAATAAAAAGAAATAGTTCCTATAATGCCACGTTTTGCCCTCGTCCTGTATTTTTAATCTCATGTTTTATTCGAGAAATCAAAAGTTGGTTTTAAACACTGCTGGAATATCAATGGAAGAGTGAATGTGACTGGCCAAAATTCACCTTTTTAAAAGTGTAACGTTGTATTCATCCGCCACACTGAGTACTTCCATTTCCGGGATGTGTTACGTGCTTGCTAATTTCCACCGCCATTGCGGTTCCACGGAGTCGGTGTAGTGGCAGCCCGAGGTTAGCCAGGGGAAGCTCGTGAGTCGAGAGCCGAGAGACTATTCGAAACGTACCATCACACCGACAGCACTTACACTTATATTTTTGGAACCTCCGAACTGAGGTTGTTTGGCTGTCCGGTTGGGATCTGAGAGACGCCGTAGTTTGTTAGCATTCGAAGAAACCGGAGGAGAGTGAGAGGAACCGCCATGGCTCAGATCCTGCCAATTCGTTTTCAGGAGCACCTGCAAGTAAGTAATGACTTAATTATTTCGTTTATGTGGGTGGCTTTCCTTACATTGGTACTCGCAATGAATTTTCTTGTTGCGCTAGAGAGACTTTTTCGTTCAAAGCGAACATTGCTAACAAGTAAAGTTAGCATCGCCAGGATTGCTAGCTAGCCGGGCAGGGTGGATGACGTTTATCTTAGTTAGCATCTAGCCTTCTAGCTAACAGTTTTGTGAGCCGCCCTTGTTGGCTTTAATGCGTCAGTTTATTGTCGATGGTTTTCGATTGAAATTACACGGCTGACTATGAACTGTGCTGACGTTAACTAAGCATTTCGTGTATTTGACTCGGCCAAGTACACGAAGCACTTCTAACACTAGTATCACCTCAGTAAGTTGACGGTCTTAAACGCATGCAGCTACTACGTTGTGACTGCAACACACAATTAAAATGTATGAACGTGTCACGCCTACATATGCCCTTGCTTTGTGGTACTTATTCATTGCGAAATTACGTGATGGTAACGGAAATGCTAACATTGTGTGATTTGTATTTGAAAGTTTCGGTGTAACCTCGGAACGCCCTAAAACATGTATAGTTGTATTGGTTGGATGAGCTCACGATCGCCTGCGTTTCAAGAAGTCATGTGATGTGCTGTCATTACACTTTATATTCATTTAAAGAGGCAGCTATAACCCAATGATATGGGGTCAATTTAATGAATAGCAAATTTGCGGGGTTGGGGATGAATGCAGACATGTGTTTGAATGTAATTGCATTTTGAGAATTCACCTGGCCATGAATTAAATTACTTGGTTCTAGAACAGTAATATCTAAAAAAAAAAGTTCACATTTAATCCCACAATGGCAGATGGCTACTTTTAATACCTTGTTAACAGAAAGTTGTGTGTAGCTTGTGCCCGTAGATGTGCTTGGTGCAGAACAATTTAGCTTGGTTCGCACCTTGCATTCCCTGCACTTTACGAGCAGCTAGCAAAGAGAGGATGGGTACCTGTGTGATGTCACATGGATGCCTTTTTACAATGTATTTTATATATTTTTTTATTTTACCAAAAATAAGAGCTGATTAGTTTGTAAGTAGCTGGGCCACTTCGGATTGGTGAACTTGGCGGGAGAGGAGGGAGATGGTGATTGTGTGAAATACTTAACATGCTGTGGATCACCACAGCTTTGTCAATCACGACTGTGTTGTCTGGAATTGCGATTTCAATCAGAAAACGAAAAATAGTTTATCCCTACTTCCGAGGGCTCAAAGGCAACTATCGCAAATGAATGGAGATGTTATTTTGCTCAAAAAAATAAAACCCCACTGCACAGTTTTCCTTCAGATGTTTAACTAAAAACCTTTTTTTTTTTTTTTTTTTTTGCTTTTTTTTTTTTTTTTCTTTTTACCTCTGTAAGATAAACTTGGGACAACATAGCTGAGAAAATCTGCTTCAGTGCATATTCAAAATGTGTTAGCTGGTTAAGAATAAATGTTTTAATAGTGTACCTTGATTTGAGTGGCTGAGATGTGAAAGCTGAAAATGTCTGGGCATCAGGATTAAACTTGCCTGGTTTGATAATGGGGAAAATGAGTGATCAGATGAGCTTTACTGATCATGAGGTCAACAAATGTTTTGTCTAAAATCAGACACATGAAATACTGTGAAACGGTACTGCACATTGGTGACGCTTTGCACGGAACCTTGGCTGCAAAATCCCAGCGCTCCATCAAGTGCCAAACAGCACCGAATCTTTGGAGACCCACAAGAATGCTGTTGCCCGAGCCGCCATAACTCAAAAATTGGACTTGACTCAAGTAGCAGCCACTGAATTCCAGGCTGCGCTGACTGAATGTGAGGGCTCCATATGCCCCACAAGCTGCCTGTTGCCCATTCCTGGTTGAGACAGCGATATAGCTACGTGAGCACATTTCTGTGCCAGTGTCTTCTCGAGCAGCATAAAGTTCTCCAGTTGTGCCACAGCAGAGTGTGTTGCTTCAATAACTACATGACCTGACTCATTGACACTTCCCCACATCCAACTTAATTCTTAATTGATGCATAGATTATTATTGTCCATCCCTATTTGGTATGCAAACAAAGGCTAGGGGATGAAATAATAAATGTTTTTCACATCAGCAGGAACACATGTTGGTAAGACTCACCTTCCCTTGGAAGTCTTCTGACTTGTTAGCCAGTCAACTTGCTAAGCTTGCATTTTCATACATCATCCATTTATATAGGATGGTGCTGACTTCTGTTAAGCGAACTTTAATTGCCTGAATGTCAAATTAAATGTTTTCTTGAACACCTTTTGTTTGCTAGACACACTTTATAGTTTGTCACACATGATTTGCGTCCATACACTCGGTCCAGGCTGGATTTTGCCAGGATTTCTTCTCACTGGTCATGTACTCTGCCATTTCCTAGTCGTCTTATAATTGGCATTTAAGTTCGAATTCAGTTCCATATAATGACTCGGCAAGTTGACAAGGTCACTCGTCATTTTGAAATGCAGATTGAATTCCCTTTTGCTCTCTCCAGTACTTTTTGGTATCATGCTTCCTTAAGTTTTACGTTTGGCCTTTGAACTTTGCTTGTAACAAAACTGCTGATACCTTGTGACTGGCTGGCAAGGTTGCGGATATGCTGAACACTTGACATTGTGCAGCGTTGTCTAAATGAGAGAGATTGCATTTGGGAGAAAAGGGAAACTGCGTAGCCACAACTCTCCCCTTCCGAATTCTTCTGAGAACTAGATAGACACAAAAAAATGAGCAAGCTCTCCTTTCCTTTATCTGTGTAATAGTAAAGGCAGTCTTACTCCTCACTCTTCAGCTGCTCACATGTCACCCACCCATGTCACATGCTAGCGGAGGAGGCTAAACTCGGCGGGCCTTTTGTTTCAGTCCCGATGGACAATGCTCCCAAATTTCCTGTTGTGGAATATGGCTATGACGTGGTGCAATGCTCAGCACATTACACAGCACATCCTTCCCTGCCCTTCCTTGAACTTTATGTGATGGACATACACGGGACTATTTTTTTTTAGCTGAGTAAGCTGATGCTTTCCTTTGAAGGAAATGGTAAGCATGTTCTATGAGCAGTCCAAACCTCTACTGGAGGTGTCAGGAAAGTTTATCCAGAACAACCACTGGCTTAAATTTGTGGCTTCTTGCTTTGATAACTACTTTTCTCACAAGCAAGTGCACTGCTCCCCCAACTATTTAAAGGCACAGCAAATGAAGTTAGTTTCTGAAATGTTCCATTTTATTTTAAATTCTAAAATGTATTTAGGAATTCTTCTCTCTGCCGCTTTCTGTACTGGAAAACATCCATGAGCCATCCCTGATCACAGTGATGGAGTCGCTAATAAGATAAGATAAGATAAGAAAACCTTTATTAGTCTCGCAATGGAGAAATTCCCAATTCACAGCAGCGAAGTTATGGAAGAAGTAGATGTAGCTATAATGCAGAGCACGAGCGTGGAAGAACTGAATGTTGAGTGAACATCGAACAGCCGGCAAACTTTTACTCGCATGTCATGGAGGTGATGGCAAAGTTGTGTCTCGCCAGCAGTTAGCTTTGTCATCGATACAGTGGGTGTTCACGCAATTTGGCGAGCATTTGCGGTAGTCGCGCGTGTGTTTTCCTCCCCATGCTTTTTTTTGGGGGGGGGGTCGTGGCGAACCAGATTAGGTAGGTCTTTTATTTTGTCACGTTTTTTTGTTCGGATGGGGCCAGAGTGATGTGACTGAATCCTGTTTACTGATTCACAGAATGAAGACGTTCATCATTTCCTCCTACTTTTCAGCCAATCAAAGGACTCGCTCAATTATTTTTTTGGGGAGAATACTTAGTGTAAAATTGCACTTCGTGAATACATTGATAATATCGATGATAGTATATATCGTTCACCTCTAAACAGCGCTAACACTCAATTTGGTTCATCAGGGTACAAATTATTCAGATTTAACTTCAGTCTCATCTTCAAATAGTTTCCGAATAAAGTTTAGCTCTTGTGTGGATTTTGTGTTACAGCAACGATAGTTCAAGGATGCTTGCTGCGTCTCCAAATGTATGATAACAACGGTCACTGCTTATCACTGAAAACCGTTTCATTTGGAATTTAAGTGCTTGCTGATTTCGTTTATCTCAGTTTGTGTTTCAATACTTGAGTAATGTTCCCTTTGGCCTCTAAACTGGACAATAGCAGCTATGAAAGGAAGGAGTCGGCACTCCTATGCCACAGCAGTTGTAAACATTGTGGTGCAATTTTTCTTTTGCTATTTCCTATTCTTTCTCAATACGTCCGCAGTGTCATTGAAATGGAAGTAGTATCCTTGTAGAATGAGCATTCAACTAAATTTCTTTGATTGACGGTGGACATAAATATCAGCTGATCTGCTAAAATGCTTTCTAAACAATGAATGAACAGCAATTATTTCAACATTTCATAATACATTTTCAACAAAACAAGGCTTGAAATAGACAATGCACAAAGTACCAGTGTTTCACTGGATCGTGGGAAAAAAATGAAGTCAACCAGGTCTTGATTCCATCAATTCATAACATTAGGGATGTCACAATATTCACTGTCACAATACTGCAATATTAACAGTGCCCGATATCGTCGTAGTCTTCTGTCTCTATAAAATACAGAGCCAGTGTTTAAATTGCTTTTTACAGTGGCAAAAAGGTGCAAATTAGGCCACTGCGATGGAGGTCCCTGCCAGTGCTTCCTGGGATGGTGTTTCCTAACTAGCATTCTCTTTGCCCGGGCCATAGGTCATTGTGTTATTGTTTTTAAACTATGTGTGCATGTCTGTGTGGGCGGGATGGGATTGATTTCAACTATGTAAAGCACTTTTGAGTTGAATTTTATTGTCTGAAAAAGGGCTTTAGAAATAACAATTGGTTTCTTTTGATGAACAAGAAATGCAGAAATGTTCATGTTACACATAATGCATATAAAAGAATGACCTGTGCAAGGTTTTTCAATTTAATAGGATAAGAATACAAGAGAGAAAACATGACTTGGACTGAGTTTTAACTTTTGATTGGCATCTGATAATTGCAAGAGGATCTTCGTCGTAGTGTTGACGTTTTAGTGTTTGGTTGAGACTTCCCAGCGCTAAATGACCTGAAAGGAGCATTGTTGTCATGAAGCATTGTGGAAGAACACACCATGTACAGTATTTTCGGGATTATAAAATGCACCTGATTAAAAGCAGCAAAAGTTTTAGCCATTAAAAACAGTCTTATTGGGTTTTTGCAAAGAAAGAGGTCACACAGACAGATTTTTTTTCCCAAAAGTTTTTTTTACACTTCAAATCGACATGATGCTGTCAGAAATCCGATGGTGTGCATGTGAAAAGAGTGACTTTCACCTCCCGCCCCCATTTTGTCGTCATCCTAAAATGCTGTACTTTTTCCTTCCCTAGCTCCAAAATCTGGGCATCAACCCATCCAACATCGGCTTCAGCACCCTCACCATGGAGTCGGATAAATTCATCTGTATCCGGGAGAAAGTCGGCGAGCAGACTCAGGTGGTGATCATTGACGTGGCTGATCCGAACACACCAATCCGCAGGCCCATCTCAGCCGACAGCGCCATCATGAATCCAGCAAGCAAGGTCATTGCACTCAAAGGTAAGGCAGTCTATTTACCATCCAGTGGTTATCAAATGTTTCTACATATGGACTGTATTGCTCAGCCTTGACATATTCCTTCGCAGTACTTTAGTATGGAAGGCAAACATTTTTGCCAGTCGCCTTAAAAATGCAGCTAATTTAGCTCTCCACTTGGCCCTTCAGCAGGTGTGTTTATATGAACATATGTCCTATAACTGTTTGACAAAGCATTGTTTTTTTTAATTTTATTAAAAAATATATATTTCTTTAAGTATCCATGATTGCTTTGACTTTTTTTTTGTTTGTTTTTGTCTTTTCTGTGCTCTTTTGTTTTTCTTTACTGCTTTCTTGTGTTTGCAGACGGTGAGTTAAAATTTAACTTTCATATTGTGGAAGTAAAATCCTGTTTTCAAAGAGACTTTGAAATTATGTCATCGATTCATTCAACAAATGCTTGAGTGAACTAAACAGAAAGACATGAGGTTTTGGTCCAAATTGTTCCAAGGTGGACTTACAATACCTTGAGTCACTCCCCGCCGCACCACTGTAATTTGCTCTATTCCTTTTTGGACCATTTCCTCAATAAAACGAAACAGGATTTATCTTTCATGACTTATATCAAGCTGGCATTCCATCATTTTTTTTTAGTGTGATTGATTTAGAACCTATTTTACATATGCCAATATTATTTTAATTCACATTTCTAAATTTCCATTTTAAATCCATGCTGTCGATCCAATATGTTGCTCTTTTTTTTCCTGATTGTATTTGATATCTTTAATTCATCGTATTTCAAACACCTGTAGTTACCTCTCAGTTCAAGTAATACAAATTCAGTTTGCATAAACGTCACACACACCCACAAGCAAGAAGCACATTGCACATCAATATTTTAGAACACCTCAGCATTGGTTTTACAATGTAGGGGTTGCTCCTATCCATCAACTTAAACTATTGCTATATCCATTATTTTATCTCCTTTTAGACCTTTAGGGCATCGGCATACCCAAATTGTTGGTGTTCGACTTTCTTCCATTAAATTACTAATTGAATCAGAAAGATAGCCATCAAATTTATTTATATATCTATATATATATATATAAAAACTTCATATTGCTTCAGGTCATAGTCAGTACTAGTCTTGGTTTCATAAACCTTGAAACAGTCCCAACCACTCACTAGTTCTTGCATTTGTATCATTGATTCTTTTGAGAGATTTGCACGTAACAGTTTTGACGTAATAAACGTAGGGAATAGTCACTATTCACACACTAGCCTGTGATTCACTGTATTGTCCCGCGCTTGCTCATTGAAATTTGGCTGCTGCTGCAAATTGTTTGAATCTCTTGGCTTAGTGATGGCAAAGTGATCGTGACGGTTGTGCTTGGCTTGGTACTTACTTTCTTTCACTATGTTCATAAGAGTCACGAATAGTGATCAAACAATGATGTCACGCCGCTTCTTAATAAAGCTTAAACTCACTAAATTAACCTCCAACTAATTAAATGTGATACAGGTGAGTAAATCTAACATATTTTATCTTGTGGCCTGTCATTGTCACGTTATGAATCAAATGAAATGCAGGAAAATTTTCCTTAAATTCTTGCTGTAAAGTTCCTTGAATACAGAATTGCCTTTGACGCTTATTTCACTGTTTTAGTTGGAATGCAAAAACTTAAAAAAAAAAATTCTTGTTTACACCCACTAATCTCCTTTATTTCTAACTTTTGAAGGCATCTTCAATTGATGGGTTGGTCTCATAATTGGAGATCATACTTGGGTGCACATCCATTTGGAAATTATGTACAAAGTTTTGTCAAGTGGTGAATCTTTTTTTTTTTAATAGAAAAATCATGCTGCCATCTTATTACAGGTATCCCGAATGCTGTAACTCGACCAAGACTTAATGTTGATTGCAGCAATGCAAATTAAGCAGTCATGTTTCGCGTTCCCTCAGGGTAGATACAAAAACACACGTGGACAAAATGTCGGTACCTCTCTGTTAATGAAAGAAAACCCCACAGTTGTCGGCGTAATAACTTGAAACTCACCAAAAGTTTAAAATAATAATAACAATGAAACCAATGAAAATCAGACATTGCTTTGGAAATGTTTCAACAGAATGAATCAGGAGCAGGAGCCTGGACAAAAATGAAGGGACCCATAGAAAATATTTGAAATAATTTGAACAGATGGACATGTTAAACTAAATTGTGTCCTCCAGCTAGCATTACTGGTGTCTTCAGACTTGTAATTGGTGTGTCTTTTGAAAAGCTGACAAGTAGCCATGATGCTGTTTGGTATCACACTGAACATGGACGACAGAAAGTGAATGTAGAGTCGTCTTGGGAGATTAGCAAGAAAATTATAGACCAGCGTGTTGAACAGTAAATGCTGTATGAGTATCTCTAAGCAAATTGACGCTCCCGTGACGTCAGTGACGCTTAACAGTTATTCAGAAGTTGAAGTTACACAGGACTGGAGCCAGTCTCCTTACAGCTGGCCGCCAGAAGAAAATGGATGGCACCGATCACCTGAATAGTAATCAAAGCGCACACAACAACGTCCAAAGAAATTAAAGGTGAACACCCAGGTCATGGTGCAGAAGTCTCATTCACAGTTACAGAAATTGTTTGCAGCGATTGCCTCAAAAGGCTGTGCAACAAAATATTCATTTGAGGGCATCACTTTTGTCCAGGCATGTCTCAGTAGTTTTATTTATTTATTTATTTTTAGAATTCTGTTCATTATTTCAGTGACTTGAAAAGTTGACTTGAACTTGAACCTTTGAGGTTTTTCTTTCTTGAACAGAGGGGTAACCCAAAAATTATGGCCATGTGTATTCTAAATTCATCCACCCTTTGGCATTTTATAACAGAGCGTTATTTACTTGTTCTCCTGTTTTGACACTGTCACATTTCATTCAAACAGGATGCGATTTCTTACTGTCGCGTGTATGGCCTTTGTTGCCTGATAAAAAAATTCTTTCAATTTCTGTTCCAATTTTGTGTTTGTCATCTTAAGAGTTTGTGTGTGTCTAGACTATAACGGCCTTTGGGTGTGGTTTTTGCTCCTTTTATTTCCACTTTTAGCTGGCAAAACCCTTCAGATTTTCAACATTGAAATGAAGAGCAAAATGAAGGAGCACACCATGACCGATGATGTTACCTTTTGGAAGTGGATTTCCCTTAATACAGTCGCACTTGTGACTGAAAGCACGGTCTACCATTGGAGCATGGAGGGTGACTCGCAGCCTGTCAAAGTCTTTGACCGCCACTCCAGTCTGGCAGGCTGCCAGATTATCAACTATCGCACTGATGCCAAGCAAAAGTGGCTCCTCCTCATTGGTATTTCAGCACAGGTAATCATAGATTTCCTCGGTCACCCCAGAGGTCACCAAGCCCTTTGAAACTGCAAGTCACTTTCCTGGGTACGGGGTTAAGGCAAAGGATGACTGGTTTTATTCACACTTCAAAAATAACCAGCTCATCAGGCGTTGTAGGGAGGTCATACAGGCACATGGAGGCCACACACACAACTGAGCCTCATTTTGACTTGTTTTAAATACGTTGCATCAGAGTTGGATCATCCTGTAGTGTGTTTTTCCACTTCAAATTTTGTGTGTGACTCCAAATCCAGACCTCCATGGGTTAATACATTTGATTTAAATTGATAATTTTAGTGATTGTCAGCCCTTTCAACTATGTAAAGAACAAAGTATTTAAGAATATCTCCTTAATTCGGATCTCGGGTGTGTTATTTTATTTTTTTTATTTATTTAAAGCAATTTTTTTTTCTCTTGGAAATGTTTGGAAATCTGAATTGTGCGACTGTGGTTCTCTTTCATTCTAACTAGCAAAGTCGGGTGGTGGGAGCCATGCAGTTGTACTCTGTGGATAGAAAGGTTTCTCAGCCCATTGAGGGACATGCTGCCAGCTTTGCCCAGTTCAAGATGGAGGGCAATTCTGAGGAGTCAACCCTTTTCTGCTTTGCTGTCAGAAGTCAGGCTGGTGGGAAGGTAAGCGAGCATGATGGGGGAAAAAATGAATTCGAATGCACTTGGCACGTCCGCTGTCAAAATACAATGTAGTTATTATAATTTTTTTTTTTTTTAACCTGTGTAGTTGCACATCATTGAAGTTGGAACCCCACCAACCGGCAACCAGCCATTTCCAAAGAAAGCAGTGGATGTCTTCTTCCCTCCAGAAGCCCAAAATGACTTCCCTGTCGCCATGCAGGTGTATATGCTTGTCGAGTTAAACATATGAGTTAGTAATCGCCATTGCAGCAAAGAAACTTGCAAATGCTGGATATTCATATCTTCATTATTTCTTTTGGGCATGATCCCATTAAATTGCTTTCGCATAAAACAAGCGGTTTATCAAGTATTATGCGACCACAGTTGTTCTGTTTATATTTTATCCCACCCCCCCACCCCTCTTTATTTTTTTTAACAGATAAGCTCAAAGCAGGATGTTGTGTTCCTCATCACTAAATATGGCTACATTCACCTGTATGACTTGGAAACCGGCACCTGCATCTATATGAACCGCATCAGCGGAGAGACCATCTTTGTCACAGCTCCTCATGAGGCCACCTCAGGCATCATTGGGGTCAACAGGAAGGGACAGGTAAGTGTATCATGTCAAGGCACTGTCATTAATAGCATTACCCCATTAAAATTATGATTTTTTTTTTTTTTTTTTTTTGATTTTGAAATATTGAGACAAACTGATGCATTTTAATACCTAGAAAGCACTCCCATTTATAATGGCACGCAAAAGCTTTTGCTTCTGTGCCGACGACGGCATCACTTCTGAGCCTCTGCATGAAAGCGGTGTAAATTATCCAAAGTGTAGTATTTCACACAGAGAGGGAGTCATGTTTTGTTTTTTACTGCTCGTGTAAAGCTGAACCAGAAAGGAGAACTGGATCCAGGCAGCTGATGAATATTCCAGTCAGGCTGTGCAGCACATGAATAATTGAGGAAAGAGAAGAAAACTGATCGTAAGGCAATGGTAGTTTTGGCAGCATGATCAGGCAGTTGTGTGTGTGTGTG